ATGGCGTCGTCAGCGCACAGGCATCCGGTGAACGTGCCAATCCCTCACACCGTCTGGCCGTGTCAGCAAGGCTGGCTCAGTGGGAAAGGAGGACCCAACACCTTCGGGGAGGTTTCTTGGCCTCTAGTTTTTCTCTTTTCTTCGATCTGTAACCCCTGCTCCCCCCTTGGTCTATAAAAGGGAGAGTAGGGGCCCCACTAAGGGGATCGACACTGGACCGACACAACTCAACACACATCACACACAGCTGAGCAGCGACCGAGCTTTCGGCGACCTTTTGACCAATCCATCGGAGACTTGGGCTCGTCCCTCTCTCGACCCTTTGTACCCCTTACTATGAACCATTTTCGGTACTAATAACACGAGCAGCAGCGGACTGGATGTAGGGACGTTCAGCCCAAACCAGTATAAACCTCGTGTCCTTTAGTGCACCATCCGGCCCTAACGCGCATCAATTATAAATTTACTAGCCGGTGTTTGTTCGAAACACCAACAGGTAGGTCCTAAGCCACAGGATCCTATAAGCCTCTATCATCTGAACAAAGCAAAGTCCCTCAGCCTTGTTCTTCAGTAGGTAAACGAGGGCAAACATGAGTGCCTCCTGTGCAGGGCAGTCCATAACATAGCCATAAAGATATTGATGCACCTCATTGTGCTGTGGAGTCTTGAGGGCAAGCTTCCTTCTCTTTCCACCCCTTTCCTCCTGGCCCTTGGCATCAGAACCCTTAGAGCCTTCCATACTAGAAGGAGTACCCTTTCCAGAATCAGTCTCTGTGCCACCTAAGTCAGTGATGTTCTCAATGACATCAATATCACCTTGGCCAATGTCAGTTGGAGTACCCAGAGGCTCATTTGAGCCCATTGCATACCTGCCTGTGGCCTAGTTACCACCAAAGATGGCCTCCATCTGAACATAGTTCTTTATTAGTGTGTTCAAGAACTTAGCATCAGCAGGATGGTCCTAGTTAGTGAAACAGATGTAACTATTAGATATAGGTGAGCAAAAGAAAAGAAAAGGGATAGCTGAGGTGTTATCCAAACAGTTTCTAACCTTGGTGTGGCCAAGTAGGTGTTCATCATCAAGTACTATCATATGGTGGTCCTCATCGCACAGAGTACCACTCAAATCCTTGAGCCTAACAATCTTAACCCACATTTGCCTTCACTTTCTCAGGTGATTGTAAATCTGCTGGGTGCTCACATTGACCCGAGCAAACTCAGAGACCATGAGTGCAACCTGCCTAACATGTACCTTCTTGAACCCTTTCTCAGTTTTGACCCCCTGTCCCACCAAATCATGGAACCTCCTTAGCATGAACCCAGACTGGACAGGAGTCCAGTGCATAAGGCCATTGGGCTGAGGAGCTGCTTGGTTGCCATCATCAGCAGCAACTACCCCACCCTGTTCCACCACATTGTCCTCACCACCAATGTTAACAACTTGATCAGGCATATTATCCATTTCCTATCTACAACCACCATAACATTGAACAACCAGTACGTAGGGAAAACAAATTGCATGATATGAAATACAAGTTCAATAGATCAAATAGGCAGAAAAGGAATATGTACTACATCATTGCAAAGTGCCATAGGTCTCAGTTAAAATACAAGTTCCTCCAATGCTACTAAACAGTACACACACCATGCCTCAGCTCTCCTACCGCATATAACACCTTCTGGAAGAACCTACTAATTGTCTCTGCGGACCTCCTGAAGGTGAGGTCAACCACCCTAAACCTCTCATTGTGACCAACAACATGCAAGAACATGGCTACTTGTTCTTCAACAGATGCATGTATGCTGTCAGTGATAAGCTCTCTACTACGAAAAAGGTCACAAAGTTGGAAAAATGGGCCCTCTTCATTCTAAGAAGGTTGACACAGTGCACATCATCAGATTCATAGATGTATCTAAGGTTGTTCATCCTCTGTTTGTCCCTCTTAGCCAAGGGACCATAGGTGACTGAGCGCGAATCTTCAACTCTCCTCCTAAACACATGAAAAACCAAGCAGCCACTGCAACAACCACAACAGCGGCAGCCCTGTGCCTAGCTTCAAAGGCCATGTCTACCAACATGATGAAGGGCAACATTAGAAAGGAAGTATGCAACATGGGTGTGTACTGCTTAGCAAGCAAAAAATCAGACAAAATGAACTATGAAAGATGCGGCTGCCACACCAAAGGGTGCTCCTCCAGCGTATACTATTACACAATCAACATCACTGACCTCTATGCATTTTGCTCAGTGTGTACAACAAAATAGACATCAGCATGTACAAAATCTACACAAAACATGAGGTATAAACCAAATACGAAGCATCATGTACAGATATGAGCTAGGAACAGTAAATCAGGTATAGCATCGCATAGATCTGAGGATGTCAAACCAAGAACCCTAATTTCTTAGCATTTCAAGCAAAATCCATCAACAAATCAATAAAATCGACACTGAAGAAGGGGGAGGGAATGAGCGCAGGTGGCATATATCGTCGAAGCGCCGGAGGACCGAGAGAAATCCGTCGGCGAGGGTCGCCTCGGTAGGGCTACCAAGGTCGAGGGGGAGCTAGAGGGGAGTTCACACCGGAGCTATCGAAGAGTGAGGGCGGTAACCCTAGCCGCGACCCGCGCGCGCTTTTTGGCCCGGACGGCCTCATCTCCCGCACTCTGCGCAAAGGTTCCCGCAAAGCACCGAGCGAGCCTAGCACTGAGAGGAAAGTGGGGATCGAGAAGACAGCGCCGTCCGGGATGGAGTAGGGAATCTGCATGGGAGGAAGCAAGAGAAAAGTGCGAATAAGGCAACCAAACACAGACGAATACACAAAGGATGCGGGATGAGCCATATGACGGTCTGGTTCGGGCAAACAATCACGCCCTCAAGTGGACGCGCGAGTCGTCAGCAAAAGGATATCGATCCCCCGTACGGAAACGAGCTCAGGCAAATGGAGTTTTCCGTCGTCTCCCCTTCCACTCCACCCCTACACTCCTGGTGGACAAGGAGGGACAAACGAAGCGTCGCCCCAGGAGAATTACACCGTTGACTAGGTCCACATGTCACTCGGAGAGCACAGGCACGGATGGCGGCGAGTGACATGTCGACGTGCAAGCCAAATGTCGAGTCCATTCCGGTAGTTGAGGTGTCCAGGCATACGCGTGCCGGTTGAGTACTACTACTGCCTGATCAATGATCCATCATATGACAGTGATCACTAATCAGGGGGTAGTAGTTGAGCAGCTGCTTTACTCGTCCGTCAATCCTGCCAATGAGCTCCACGCAGCATACGCTTGCTGCACCCTGCCTGCTACATACGAGTACGAAATGATTGGAGATCTATCGATGGCTACGGCTTGACGTGCGCCATGCTCGGACACTGTCTGTTCAAGACAGTACACTACCGGCCGTGCGATTATATGAGTACTATATATAAGCTGATGCATTTGTGGGACACTAGCTAGCTAACTACTGCTACCAAGTACGGAATACCTCTGTTCTGTCTGCAGGATCGGAACTCCAGTAGTTTACAGGTACAGCACCGGAGATCCTTGATTCCGGGCTACACGCCACGCGCGGTGGTAGTAGCTAGACTGGTAGGGGTAGGGGTACACGGATACAGACATACATGCCAAAATAAAAAAAAATAAGCTAAAACACTGTTTCGGCTGATTTGTTGTGAAAGAAAAACACGGCTCCGGCTGAAAAAACAAGGTAAAAAAGACGGATTATAAGATAAGCAAACATAACCACAGTATATGATATGCACAGGTACGGGTACAGTACACACCGTCCACCACAGACGATCGAGAGGACCACGTAGACGAGACGCGAGGAGTACGTACGTGACCACTCACTTATACGCGTGCAGCCACACATCAGTACGTATCCATCCATCAGTCGGCGGAGGGATACTAATGCTACCCCTACCCCTGGGCCCTGGGCCCCGCAGCAGGCTACATACATACACAATGCAAACGCGTATCAGCTTGTTCGCTTCGTGTCTGCAGGATCGGATTTATCAATCCAGTATTTTTTTCTCTCACGCCGGTACAGCACCGGATCTTCCACAATTGGCATGGCTTATAAACCGTCCAAACGGGCAGGGCGTATGTGTGCGTCGGTGCGTGCATGCCAACGAGGCTAGGCCAGTAGAAAGAGAGGCGGCGAGGATCGCCTGGATCAAGCAAACTGTGCTAGCTACGATAGCTGGCGTTGCACAGTGGTAGTAATAATAATAGTCCAATAATTCGTCACGAGGGGAATGCATGGCCTGGCCCATAAAGCAGTATAGCACCAGGCAGTCAGTCGTCTCGGTCACCATGGGTAAACAGTAACTGCGAGTCTGCATGCGTCCGACTCCGACCGACGTGCAGCGAGTCCCATCCCATCCCACTGCACGCCGCTGTAGAAAGTAGAAACACACCTTGCCCTCGTGCAGCTTTCCAAAAGGTTCCTTAGACCCCACACCCCAGCCGCCCAGGGCCAAATCCAGCGGGGGCGCAGGGAAAAAAGCTGGGAGGAGGGACGGCCTCGCGAGGCAGGTGGTATTGGTGAGCTCCATCGCGCGCTGCGCGGGAGCAGGCCACCCTCCCCCTCCCTCCCACCACACGCGGACACGCAGCCGCGCGCCGGCCGTGGCAAAAAAGCAAGGGGCTCCTGCCGAGCGCGGAGGCGCCCACCGGCACCGGTCGGCCGCGGCCTTTCCAGCTTTCCCCTCACGCGCCCCACGTTGTTGGCTTGAGCGCTGGACGCTGTCGGAAACTCGGAATCGGAACCGTGCCTGGAGCAGAGGCGCCGCACCGCGGGCGGTATTGTAGAAACCATGCGCGCGTGCCGCCGACGCTGGCAAGAATATCCGCACCGCACCGCCACGCCTCGCCTCTGCTGCATCTGCATGCATGCATCATCCAGCCGGCTGCCGTTCGCCGAGGATATATATCAGCAGGCCAGCGGTTTTGCGCGCGCGCGCGTGCCTGCTCGCGTGTATGTAGCCGCCACAAACGCGATGCCACTCGCGCGTACGCGTCGGTCGGTGGCGCACGTACGTGCGCTCGCGCGCTCCGTCCCGGCTCCCTCCCTCAACGCGTGCGCGCGTGTCACAAGGGGCAAACACCGAGTGAAACTGTTAAAAAAACAAAGAGTTAAATGTATCAGAGATCCATTAACATATAAGGAGGTTTTAGTCAGGTTCATCAACTTTCAAAGTGGCTTTTTATCCATAAACTTAGTATGATGTATCACTTAGGTCCATACCTGTCCACATTGGCTTCTTGTGCTGAGATGGCATGATGATGTGGCCATGCGGGCGTGCAGGCAGGTGCCGCCGCTCTGCCACACGGGCGCGAAAACAGGCCAGCCGCGGCGCCCGCCGTTGACGTTGTCGTTCCCCTCCCTGTCTTCATCGTGCAGCGCGCGCCGGGGATGGAGCTCGCGCCGGCGAGGATGGCCTGTCGCCGCCGCCGTGGTGGCTCACCACGGAGGCCTGCGACCTCCCTTCCGCGACCGCCACGGGGCTCGGGGAATGGGCCGCCTTCCTCTTCCTCTCCACGTGCTCGCAGCGGACGCTTCTCTCCGCCGCGTCCGCGGTCTTCCTCGTCACGCTGCTCTGCCTCGGCGCCGCCAAGCTCATCTCCACACGGCGACGACGCCATGGCGCCGGCGGCGCCCTGAACGGCGAAGACAAGCAGCCGCTGCTGGATAGGGCCGTGGTTGTTCGGGTCGGCGCCGGGTTCGTCGTCGCGCTGGCTGCGTCCGGTGTCCTCGCCGCGTTCTACGTCGTGCTGCTGGTCCTTTCCCCGGTCAACAGGGGCGGCGAGGCCCTGGAGGCGGTGTTCCTGGCGCTGCTGTGCGCGGACGAGGAGACCACCACCACCACCACCGATAGCAACAGCAAGGCGAACGTGACCCCGTACGCGACGGCGTCGTGGGCGTCGCGCGCGACGTGGGCGTGGATGAACCCGCTGGTGCAGCGCTGGTACCGGTCGGCGCTGGAGCTGTCGGACGTGCCGACGCTGGCGCCGTCCCACCGGCCCGAGCGCATGCACGAGCTCTTCACCCTGCACTGGCCGTCGTCGTGGGCGTCCAAGGACAACAACCCGGTCCGGCACACGCTGTTCCGCACCTTCTGGGCGCAGTTCCTGCTGAACGCGTCGCTGGCGCTGCTCCGCCTCACCGTCATGTACGTGGGGCCGACGCTGATCTAGAGCTTCGTGGACTTCACGTCGGCGGGCGCCGGGCAGCGGCCGCTCGGGGAGGGTGCGCGGCTGGTGGCGATGCTGCTGGCGGCCAAGTGCGCAGAGGCGCCACCAGTACAACTTCCACTGCCAGAAGCTGGGGATGCAGATCCGGGGCGCGCTCATCGTGGCGCTCTACCGCAAGGGGCTCGCGGACCAGTCAGCGGCGGAGGAGTTGGCGACGAGGCGCGCGCCCTGGAGCAGCAACTGCCCGTCGGGGAGCACCAGGTTGCCGTCGCCCGCGACGGCCATCGCGGCCACGGACTGCCCCGCGGTGCCCGCGGACCACACGACTGCGCCGGCTCGCGCGGCCACAGGATGTTTGACGAAATGAAGCGACTATAGGCCCCGTTCGCTGGTCTGAAACTTAGCTGAAACTGACTGGTTTTGTGAAAGAGAAACACTGTAGCGACTGGTTGATAAACATTGTTTTGTGAGAGGAGTCAGCCGGCTGGTATGGACATCCAGACCCGCGAACGCGCCCATAATTGCTTCAGAAGGACAAGTCAGCACAAGAAGTCAATGTGGACAGCTATGGACCTAAATGATACACCATACTAAGTTTATGAACCAAAAAACCAATTTAAAAATTGATAGATCTAATAAAATCTCCTCACAAATTAATAGATTTTGGTGCATTTAACTAAAAACAAACAAACAGACAGATACGAGCCGGGGCCAGCATGCGCGCATATGCCTGCCCGCACGCAAACGCAGAGAGACGACCGACCGACGTGGTACCTACCGAACCATGCTTGTTTGCTTGCGGCCTCAAGGCAGTCAAACTCGTCGGCTTCGTCGCGCATGCGCCGCGGCAGGCATATATGCTGCCGATTTGCTTCATTCACCATGCTCTATGGCTCTCGCTACTGCTTCAGTTTCAGTATCGAAGGTTTTCGACGAGCGATCAACCAGTCTGATCAAGTATTAGCAATCCATTATCTCGGAGGTTTGGGGCAATGACAACTAACATGGCCAAAACGCGTCAGAGTTCTGTAAATGTAACACGAATGTTTGGAGGGAATGTCGACGCTCGTCTCGCTCTCCGACATGCTTTTCTCAGCAGGGCTAGCTCTCACCCACACTGTTGGTGTTGTTTCATGCTTTCCAGAAGAACAACTCCTCCTGTCTGTCGTATGTAATAACACTAAAAATAAATCGCTGACTCAAGAACTAAGCAAGGTTGTGCTAACTAACTCTAGAAAACCATTATTTGCGATCATCTTACGTTCATAAACAAGTACTTCCTCCGTCCACAGAAGAATACAATTATCGTTTTTTCGAGGAGTCAAACAGTTTGAACTTTGACTAAATTTATATAAAAAATACTAATATTCATGATACTAAAAATTTATTATATAATATATTTTCATAATAAATTTATTATATAATATATTTTCATAATAAACAAGTACTTCCTCCGTCCACAAAAGTAGCATTTAATTGGTTATTATATAATATATTTTCATAATAAATTTATTAGAGACATAAATGCTAATACTATTTACTACAAATTTGGTCAAACATGAGCTAGTTTGACGCCATACAGATCTCACAATTGCATTCTTTTATGGATGGAGAGAGTAATCACCATATTTATTTATTTATTATTCACGTGTTTTAGATAAAAAAATACTCCTTAGCTAGGAGGCTGGATTTTTGTGACTTTGGATTGGATGCATATATCCAACAATCCCCCTTGATCATCTTCTTCATTCCTATTCCGGACCATAAATGGGACAAATTCATTTTAGCCTACCATTGGCATTTCCTAGCCTTTGTCCCACATATAAATGCATCAATAAGGTATGAAAAAAAGTTATACTTTCATGAAACTATTCTTCGAGATAGATTTACTCGCATCACTTCAAAACATTCAAACTTTATATATATGAAAAGTATTTTGTTTCAAGATAAATTTACTCGTATCACTTCCAAACATTCAGACTTAATATATATGAAAAATGTTTTGTATTCAAAGTTTCAAGCTATTGACCGAGGCCAATCTCCACTTATTTGTGATAGAAGAGATTATATCTATCACTACATCATAAGGTGTTGCCTTTGCTCAATGCCATTTATTTTCCACATTTGACACTTCATCGTCACCGAGAAAGCAAGATTATAGTTCCTTCATATGCACACAATAAACCAAAAGAGGGCTTTTACATGATTTTATGAGTATACTCGAATTTTACAAAAAAAAAAAAAAATCATGTGGGACTGATTTTGTAGCTTGACGTATAACAACTCCATAAAAAATGAGCAAGATCTATATAGTTCCCCCATTCTCACATAAAGCTCGAATAGCAAATACAGAAAACCTAGTGCCCAATATTTTACTCGTGCTTGTTCTTGCACACTTCCTCTTTGCTCTCTTGCACCCTTCTGCAACAACCTTCCATTAGTTTATTTGAGCAGCCGAGAAAATGGCCAAGGAATGAGAACAAACCAGGCAAGCTTCAACCACCACCGTTCTTACACAGTTCACAAAAACTAAAGCTAACCCACATGCCTTTTGCACTAAACGCACAAAAAATAATCTACTAATTTAAGGGGTGTTTGATCTGGCTACTAAAATTTAGGAGGTGTGTCGAGAGGATGTTGCATGGATTGTTCGGATACTAATAAAAAAACAAATTACATAATCCGTCAGTACTTCACGAGACGATTTTTTTAAGCCTAATTAATCCATCATTAGCACATATTTACTGTAGTGAACATTGTCAGATCATGGACTAATTAGTCTTAAAAGATTCGTCTCGCAAATTAGTCGCAAACTATGTAATTAGTTTAGGAAGGGCAAACACCCCTGAAGCGAAATAAAAGGCGCACACCAAGAAGGGTAGAAGACGAGGAGAGAAGAGGCAGAGCGCAGAGGAGAGGAGAGAGAGAGAGAGAGAGAAAGAGGTGGCCAAATCCAGAATACTCCACCTCCATGTAAGCTGTATCCACAGTCCACACTACAACACCTCACCTCCCTTCCGCTCCTTTCCTCGCTCCTCCTCTCTCTCTGTCTCTCTCCTCCAAGATCTGTCGATCACACACACCACACCATACACACGCAGCTTTTGCTGCTGCTTGCTCTTCTACTTGCTTCTTCTTCTTCTTCTTCCATCGCAATGCCATCTCCCCGGCAATTCTTTCAGCTGCTGTTACCCATCTTGCTCGCCACGTGCTGCGTCAATGGAGCCAACGGCCCCGACGCTCTCGCCACCGCCAGGAGGCAGCTCCACCAGCCCTTCTTCGTCCCGGATCAGCCCGGGCAGCCATCGGCGCCGCCGCCGTTCTTTCCCGCGATGCCGGTGACGCCGCCGCCTCCGATGCCCACGGGGCAGGATCAGCCGACGTACCCTGCTCTGGTGCTCCCCAACACCGGCTCCAGCGGCGCCACGCCTCCGGCCGGCAGCTCGCACGGGTCCAAGAAGGCCTCCAAGCTCGTCCCTGCCATACTGCTGCCGCTGCTCACGGTGGCCGTACTCGGGCTGTCCGTCGCCTTCTTCTTCTCGCACCGCCGGAGCAATGCGGCGCGCGGGGGAGGAGGCGGGTGTGTCGGTGGCGGGGACGCCAAGTTTTTGCACCCGGAAAGGACGAGCCTTTTCGCGCGCGACGAGTTCGGTGGCAGCGGTGGCGGTGGTGGGGCTGCGCCGGCGCCGGCTACGGCTACCTCTGCCGAGTTCCTCTACGTGGGGACACTGGCGAGCAGAGCGGACGAGAGGAGCAGCGACACGACGTCGTCCGGCGACGAGGAGTCCCGAAGCTCGGGCGGATCGCCCGAGCTCCGTCCGCTTCCGCCGCTGGCGCGGCAGTGCGCGCCGGCGCCGTCGAGGAGCCCCGGTGGAGGCTCCCCGTCGTCCGGAGAAGAAGAATTCTACTCGCCGCGGGGCTCATCAACGAAGACCACCTCCAGCTCGCGCAGGACTCTGGCGACGGCAGTACAGGCGGCCCTTGAAGCACGGGACCGCTCCAGGACTCCGTCCCCTGGGTCGGTCCTGAGCACGCCGTCGTACCCATCTTCTCCGGGGGCGACGCTGTCCCCCGCTCCCGCCTCGCCGCCTGCCTTCTCCAGCCCAGGCGAGTCCGGCCGCCACTCCGTCAAGTCAAGATCGGAAAGCGCGCGCGTCGTCGTCCTCCCGCCGGTTCCTCCGACCCCGCCCCCGCCTCCTCCCTTCGCACCGACACTGCCACCACCGCCACCTCCTCGCCGGAAACCACCGTCCCCATCGCCACCGTGCTCTCCACTAAACGACAAATCAGCTCTCAGATCCAGCACCGACACCATCGAAAGGAACCCATTCGCCCAGCCACCATCCCTACCGACGAGCACACACCCGCCACGGCCACCTCCGGCTGCAGGGCCGCCGCCACCTCCTCCTCCGCCACCGCCTCCGCCGGTGGGCTACTGGGAGAGCCGTGTCCGGAAGCCCGACACGTCCAAAGAAACCCGTTCGCCGGCATTGTCGCCGCCACCCAAAGCTGCCAACTTCAGGAGCGTCCCTGCACCCACCGACGCGTTCCCAAGCCGGCTGCCCGAGTGCTCCGACCAAGGCGACAAGTCCGAGGACACGACGCCACGGCCGAAGCTGAAGCCGTTGCACTGGGACAAGGTCCGGGCCAGCTCCGACCGCGTCATGGTGTGGGATCAGCTCAAGTCCAGTTCATTCCAGTGAGAACTCTGCTAAAATTTCCATGTTTTTTCAGATGTTTCAGTTGTTCGTGGTCGGTGTCTTGAGGAGTTTCACTGAATTCTTGCAGGGTGAACGAGGAGATGATCGAGACGCTGTTCATTTGCAATCCAGCTAATGCGCCGGCCAAGGAGGTGACGAGGAGGCCGGTACTGCCGACGCCCAAGGCCGAGAACAAGGTCCTAGATCCGAAGAAGGCGCAGAACATTGCCATCTTGCTGCGCGCGCTGAATGTAACCAAGGAAGAGGTCTGCGACGCGCTCTGTGAAGGTGAACAAGATCCTCGCTGACACTACTTCCTAGAATTCAGCCATTTTGATTCTCTGCATACATGCTACATTGGTATTCACTGATGTTTCGATCGCATAGTATTAGTTTTGCTCGTGAGTTGTGTGAGTCGTGTTTGACTATATATTTAGCTTGTGACTGGACTGCAGCCATGCTTGTCCGTATAGTATGGTTGGGCTTTTAATAAGTTCGTGTGAATGAAGTGAATGCCAGCATAGAGCCGTTGAGAGTCGTTGCTGGAATAGAAAATCAGTGGTTGCTTCAGGTCTGCTGAATAGGTACAGAGAGTTATATCTGCAGGGAGCCTGTGAAGAATGTTGGAGAAATTGCTTTTGTTCTCATTCCTCTTTATGCTCTATTCATAGTTGCTCACAATAGGAACTTCCATTTTTCAGTCATGTATCATGACTTTTTGTGGAAATCACTGCAAGCCTGTTGTATTAGTGCAGAACTTGGAGTTTTTGGGCTAGAATTCTTTTACTTATATTGCTGAAGAAGTAATAGTTGCTCTACATTTTCCACTCCATGGGCTTCACTAATGTGTTAACCGATTTACCATGCCTGTCCTTCAGGTAACATGGAGAACTTTGGAGCAGAATTACTGGAGACCTTGCTGAAGATGGCTCCTACCAAGGAAGAGGAGATTAAACTGAAAGAATTCAAAGAGGAGACTTCTCCAATTAAGCTTAATCCAGCTGAGAAGTTCCTCAAGGCAGTGCTTGATGTGCCTTTTGCCTTCAAAAGAGTTGATGCAATGCTTTACATAGCGAACTTTGATTCAGAGGTCAATTACCTAAAGAAGTCTTTCGAGACCCTTGAGGTGAGCATTATGTCTTTGCCATCGCCATTTCATTAGCACCATTTCATCTTCTCCCTATGCTATTGTGCATATGTAATGGACATAGATGAAATTTTTAGCCTTTTCAGTATGTTTCCTCAACCTAATTCCTTTTCTTTCTTACTCGCAGGCTGCTTGTGATGAGCTTAGAAGCAGCAGGCTATTTCTTAAGCTACTTGAAGCAGTTCTGAAGACTGGCAACAGGATGAATGTTGGCACAAACCGTGGGGATGCACACGCATTCAAGCTTGACACTCTACTCAAATTGGTTGATGTCAAAGGCACCGATGGACGCACGACCCTTCTGCACTTCGTCGTACAGGAGATCATACGAACAGAGGGTTCCCGTATGTCTGCCAGCACCCAAACAACTCCAAGAACCCAAGCAAATCCTCTACGAGAAGAGCTTGAGTGCAAGAAGCTAGGCCTCCAGGTAGTGGCTGGCCTTGCCAACGAGCTCAGCAATGTCAAGAAGGCAGCTGCCATGGATTCCGACGTGCTTAGCAGCTACGTTACCAAACTTGCTGGAGGAATAGACAAGATCACTGAGGTACTGCGATTGAACGAAGAGTTGAAGTCAAGGGATGATGCATGGCAGTTCCACGACAGAATGCAGAAGTTCTTGAAGAAGGCAGACGACGAGATCATCAGGGTTCAGTGTCAGGAGAGTGTGGCACTGTCGCTCGTGAAAGAAATCACCGAGTACTTCCATGGTGATTCCGCAAAGGAGGAGGCTCACCCTTTCAGGATCTTCATGGTCGTAAGGGATTTCCTAACGGTTCTTGATCAGGTCTGCAAGGAAGTGGGCAGGATCAATGACCGTACCATCGCCAGCTCTGTGCGCCATTTCCCAGTGCCGGTTAACCCAATGATGCCACAATTGTTCCCACGGCTTCATGCTTTGAGAGCTGGATTCTCTGACGATGAGAGTTCAGCTGCTTCAGTGTCATCACCATGATCACTGGTAGTCTGCCAATATAATTTTTCGTGGACCGTCGGTAGAACACCACCAGGGGGCAGAGGGATTCAAATGGTAGCGGGCTGTCCTTTTTTTTTTCTCCTTTTGTACCTGTAGATTATAGAATGTACAATATTTTTGCAAATATTTATTTCTATATATAAGAAGGGATAAAGTCTAGATCAGAAGAGGAAATGAGCAGTTCATATATGTATGCAGCTTAATTTCAGTCTTAAGTTCAGTGTGTACATGACATGAAGCAGTTAACAAGATGTAGATTTATCCATCTCACAGAATGACAGAAGAGTGAAGTTAACAATTCCAAAACAAAAAAAATCTGCAGAGCTGGAAGGTCGAAGGTAGCTGGACTCTCTCTGCCGTACTTGAAAAGAAAACAAAACCTATTAAACTCTGGCAGTACCAAGGAAGAAAACATCAACTGTGTTTTTGTCATCATATTCTTTTTGAAATTATTTTTGTCAACATCTTTCCAATTGCACAAATGGTCCATACAGACCATATCGCACATACATCTCAAGGCAGCCTCTATCAGTTTGTCTGACAATTTTATCTGCAGTAGAAGAATCTTTCCAATTACAGGAGCATCATGTAAAGTTCAGACACTGAGCAGTGCCCCAGGAGGCAGGACTGCAGGAGCCAAGAGGTGAAACCTCAAACCATGGATGAATGCGGTAAAGCTGCAGCAGGCTTCCAGTTGGGACATCAGAAGAACCAACAAGTGCCTGATCAAAACCAGAGGGCAGAGGTTTCCATGGCCTGGAGAGCATGGGAGGAAGAAACCAAACGGGCGGTGGTTCGGGTGGGTGCCATCGCTGGGTCCCCATCTCCATGTGAGGGTGACAACCAAGCGGTGGTTCGGGTCTTGGATGCACGCCCACAAAACGTTGCAGCATGGCTTGGCTTGGTCGCCCTTTCCTACCAAACTCTCCTCCTCTTTCCTTGCTCCCATCTTGCAAGATCCGCAGCCCCACATGGGGTCTCTTGTCCCTGCTCCGTCCCCTGCACTGCACCGAACCGTATGGTATGGTATGGATGGATGCTCTGGTAACTCTAATGGCCTCAATCATTGGCCTCCAAGGTCAATCAGAGCTGTTTTTTGGGGGGTGCTCCCTTGGCCTGTGGCCTCCAAAACACATGGATCGTTTTGGCTGCTAATGCAGCTGGGATGGGTCGAAAATACTATGATTAGGAGCTATGATAATTATTTTAGTTTTGATTATGAGAAGAAAGGAATTCCAATAGTAATACTAGGTTTGTGGTGGTGGTTAGAGATGTGAAAGGTAGACAAAAGATGGGGTAGCAAGATTCTAATTCTACATCTGGGATGAGAGCACAAGTGAAAGATGGAGCATGAATGAATACATGCATGATAGGTACTCCTAAACACTAGCAGTAGCGTGATGATTACTGAATGACCACCACAGCAGATTGAAGGGAGGAGCCAGCTACATTGGCACCTGAACCACTCACTACCCAATCTTGCAATTGCAATCACCCACGCCCAACCTTTGGCTCCCGGCATTCCTTTCCATCATAGTCTCGTGAGTTGCACATGCAAGCTCCTCCTCGCGTCAATGATGATCTCTCTCCCCATGCCCATCATCAGGGTATCCTTTCAAGTTTCAAGTCCGCCCATGACATTTCAGTCAATTACCGGCTAATTAACTCGCTAACAAACTTATTTTTCTTAATCAGGACTACACAGCACACCCATCAGAGAACTGAATAACAGAATAAGATCTGTACGAGAAGGTAGATGAGCAGAAGTGAAACTTCTGACGTGCACCAAAGACCAAACCTTGCCATTCCAGGTCTAGCACAGGCGAGGCGAAGCGAAAGAGGCAGGCGCCCATTCACCCTGCAAGCCGAATCCAATGCTTGATCTGGTCGCTTCGCCTTTGACAGGCATGGAAAGCAAGGCAGATTCGCTCCGGCTTGGGGAAACAGAATTACCCCCCCACCTGGCGTCTTCTGATCATGGCTACTACTAGGAGCCGCTCCCGCTCCGTTCTCCATCAGCAGTCTAGGGGCTCTAGGCAGTAGCCACAGCACGCACGCCGTCACGTGAGGGCGAGATGCCCACGAATCAGCCGGCTTTACGCGCTGTGCCTTTGCTTTCTTTTCGCAAAGATCCCCATGGCTTTTGCCAACGTTCCATCCAGCCGTGATGAAGTTGCAGGAGTAGCCCTTGTTTATTTACGTTATCATTATCATTAAAGGGTCTGGACAGCTTGATACTACTGCTGCTCCAGATCGGTACATGTAACATGTACACATTCGTTCATCCATACAGAGGATAAATTCTGCGTGTCCGGAAACAACCCATGCAATTCAGAAGCAGATCTAAAAGCCTGCTCAGAGAGCCCGAAAAGGTTTCAAAGACTCAGAACCCGGGCAATGCCACGGTGAATGAACTGGCACGTTCCTTCCTGATGCCTGTTATGTTAACACATTTGAAGTTTTGAACCGAACCAAGGCCTCGCGTCTGTTGTTGCAACCTGTGGTACGGTCTCTGGAGGGCCAGATCTTGAGGTCACACAATTGGCAGTGGCAGCACGAAGCAAGTAGGCGAAAGGGACCGAAACCTGGCCGTAGGGATTGCATGCAGCAGCTGGCACGGGGCACCCAATGCAAGGAAGAAGAAGAATGCCAAAGGCAAAGGGCCAAGGGCGGAGCACAGTACCAATCAGTAGTAGGCCTAGGGCGTCTCACTTCTCCGAAAGCCTGACGAAGAACCTCTCAACGGCCTGATTCCTGTTCTGGCGCTGCATCACATCCAGAGCACGGGATGCAGCGTACGGCACCATGGGATGGGATGTGAGCAAAGCGTGCAAGTGTGTAACCCAACCACCTGAAAGCGAGAACACCACAGACGAGCATCTTGACGACCCAAAGAATAAAGAGGGGGCATCACGCATTCACGCGAACCCTACAGCAGCGATAGGCCCCTGATGAGAAGAAAGGGAAGTGGGCATTAGCTTCCATCCTTCAAACACCCCTTGTTTCATGGGGGAGCAATGGTCACATGCCACTTTGTCCTACAACAATGACAAGACACGCCCTACCACCACCAGCAAAAGATAAAGGGACCTGAACCTAAAACTGTTTAAAAGTGCCCTAACCCTAATGAAAACTCCAGCTCAATACAAACGAACATCAGAATCGGTAATGGCAATACAACCTTACTTACAGGTGAATAGTACAACAATGACAGCACAGTAATAATACCGAATGCATGGATGTTCTGAAGACAAGTGTGAGCTATCTGTAACCAGAGTGCTGCCTGGCATGAATTCAAAGCTTATTGGTGCTGAGGTTCTGATTCTCGGAGAATACATTTCAGCTAGTGTTGGATCAATGACAGACTAGGTATAGGCAGGTACCACATCTGAGATTATGATGAATACATACATACACCGGTGGTCACTGTAAGACACAACAACAGGAGAAACGTGTAGTGTGTGTGTGTATGTAATGTTCTGTACTTGCTGCGGGGCTGTTCGCTCAGTTTGTGTCAGCTTTGTTTTCGGCTGCCTCGCCCTTCAGGAAGCGTGAGAACCACAGGGCCGATGCTTTCGGATGCCTGGACAGCCCATTCTTGTAATCGACATAAACTATGCCAAACCTCTTGGTGTAGCCCATAGCCCACTCAAAGTTGTCCAGGAATGACCACGCAAAGTACCCACGGACATCAGCTCCGTCCCTGCATCAAATGATTAGTAGTTGTGTCAGTCATATTGCGTCTCGCGTTCTAACAAAAAGGGCCATATTTTGGCTCAACGCTCTTAGCTATGGGACAGGCAGCAAACTAAAGCTTATTACTTGATTGCTAGTGCAACTGAATTGAGGTATCCTTTGAAGTAACCGACTCTCGTCGTGTCATTTAGGACCTGTTCAAGCGTTGCAGATTGATCATCTTCATCATCCATGCCTGCAGGAAAGAAACTAGGTAAGGACATCATAATCCACGCACTCTGTATTTTATTCAGATGGTCAAAAATATCACATGCCAATAGCACTAAACACTATTACTTGCGTAAGCAAAACTACCATCATTTGTATTGCAATAACAAACAGTGTGTTGCAACGGTACATTTCACTTGTTTGATTTCTGAAATTTTGAATTCACGCCCTAGTTTATTCCTAACATTTTTGTCCATTTAATATACTTTGAACAGGTAGCAGTCAAAACCAGACATTTGGCACCGTCCAAATTTTTGCAGGATAACATGAAAGTTTTCAAATATGCAGATATCTGTAAATTCGTATTAAGCAGTTCAGTTAGAATACAAAATAGGGCAGAGTTGAAACTCTATTTCCAAATATAACAAATAAGACAGTACAAACAACCTACAACCTTGCATCTTGGGCTTGCATATTCAATAATATATTAAGTGGTGCAGCAGTTGTTCACAGTTTAAGCTCTTGTTCTTTTACTACTTCAGTCTCCACTAAAATACTAAACAAGTCAATTCATACGCTATATTTGTAAGTGTATCTTATCTACAGGAAATTGAAATGGGAAAGAATAAATTATAGGGCACAAAATATTTCTATCTTCAACCTTGATTCATGCAAAGGAATGGCACAAATTGTAATGGCATTGACTTCAGCAATTCAAGATTTGAGTCACTACATATGTGTACAATTTTCTGTCATAATACATTCTGTATCATGCCACCAGTACTAGATATCCCACGTTGTTTCACTTTGATTTTGGGAAGTATGGAAGCCTTACCATTCTCAGTAACATAAATTGCTGGATTATTATATTTCTTCGCTATATAATTAAGTACTTTACGAAGCCCCCAAGGAACAATGAAAAGCCATTCAGATGCAGCCTGCACAAATTTGAGATAGTAAGTTAGAAGAGAACCAGATAATTTACACGTGGAGAAAGAAGTTCAGTGCTGAGTTCTGACCCTTTCACCAATTTTTTCACCACTATTCCATTTTTCTGCCAAAAGAATAAATGTCAGAATAATGATAATACCAATTTGCAGGCATGATCTCGAGTGAATCTAAAGTTGATCCAAGGACTAAGGAAGACTGCAAACATAGTAGTTCAGCCACATACACCAACATTGATTTTCCAGTGTTCCTAGAACATTTGACCCAATTAGCAATAACACTCTCTCTTTGTACAGATAGCTAGAGTTGATTAGATGTTGTTGCTGAAATCACCTAACTTCCAGGATTGTAATCTCCACCAGGGTCTCTCTCCCCATCCTACTGAAATGCCCAATTTTTAACCCATCTTTCTGGAGTTGGGATGAAGTCGTTCACCTTACATCCCTCGCAATGTTTCAGGGGAAAATATTCAGTGCAAACCATCTACTCGGTAGAATCGTGAAAACCCTTTAGACAAACATACTTAGAAGTTGACGAAAGTGAATTTCATCAAATTATTTATTACTCCCTCCGGTCAAATACTTTCCACTGTCTCCGATGCACATTCTCAACCACTACTTTCTTCTAGAATATTCTTCAAAAGTTAAAATCCTTCAAATTTGTGATATTTTGCAAATACTTTCAATACAACTATACACATATAACTTACATGTTTTCAAACTAAATTATTTAAAAGCTATTGAAGTTTGTAATTTTTAAGGTTTGACCAAATGACCCTCCTCTTCTCTGCCCGTCCCCACTCCTTGTGAAAGGAAACATTCTTGAATGCTTGTGGTGTCTAAATAATACATTTTTTAATCTTTCCTTGATAGCTGAAGTATCATACCTATTCTCTCCATTTGTTGCACTTGGTAGAAATAAACATCATCTGGATTTTGGTGATGAGCAATGAGTCTCGAAGTATAATGATTTAGTCCAACAAAATCAATTTTGTTCCTGATGAATTCTTTATCTTTCTCTGAGAAGGTTGGAAGATCACTGCCCAGTCGCTGCTGCATGCTTTCTGGGTAATCACCAAAATATATTGGGTCTAGGTACCTTTAAGTGAAGGGAAAATAGTCAGCGGATATCACACCATCCTAGGAACACAAAACCAAATAAATGTGGGCACGTTATACTACATAAATGTGTACATTCTGTGAAAAAATCTATGCCCATGTGACATTAATAATATGAATAGCAACATACCATCCAAGTTGAAAGTCAATCCTCCGTTTTGCAGCAATTTGGTCTTCCACATTTTCAGAAAATGGCTCTGCCCATTCACAATCAACAACCAACCCTACTTCACCACCTTGTGCAGCCTATTTTTGTAACATGTAAAACCATCAGACGAACAAAATATACTTCCAGAAAGCTAATAAAATGATGATGAGGGTACCAAATACAAAACTGGTAGGAAATAAATGAATTGCAGCACGTTTCCAAACTTCCAATTCTCATTATATACAAGGAAATTAATGTGTAAGCATGATACAGGAGGTACAGAAACGTGGAAGAGTCCAAAACAAGAGAGAGTAAAAAGGAACCCATACTAACAAAGAACTAGTAGAACCAACCAGCTGCTTTCAGGAGCCAGAATGCCAGGACCAGGATTTACACTCCCCAAATAAGGACCTCAAGGCAATTCATATAAGAACTAAAACGGACCTTGAATTTTCTTCTATAAACATCAACAGCAGCAGCATGAGCCAAGATTTGGTGATGGGCGGCTAAGTAACATCTAGCAGTTTCACCTTGGCATCCTCCAGGTGCAAAAATTCCAATCCCATAACCATTGATTGCAGTTTGGAGAGGTTCATTGATTGTTATCCAACGCTGTACTCTGTCTCCAAAATTTGCAAAGCAAGCCTCTGCATACAATGCAAAGCACTCCCTGGGATATTTTTTATGGTGAGAAACTCATATAAACTACAGCAAATCAAGCTGCAACCACTTTCAAAATAAAAAATTGTCTCGAAAAGAATCTCATATGTAATCATCCATTTAAGCGTCTAAGAAAAATTGTTAATCATACTGCACACTTAAGATGCCTGCAGTAGCTTACACAATCTTGTCAGAAATCCAGCCCCCCAGAGTCTTCTGAAGATTGTTTGGAAGATCCCAATGATACAGAGTTGCGTAAGGCTCAATACCTATTCAGACAATCGAATGGTTAACAACTATAAGTGCTGTAATCTTTAAAGTTAATCAGTAAAACATATGGTACCTTTCGAAATCATAAAGTTGATGAGGTCATTATAGAAGGCGACTCCTTGCTCATTGACCTTTTCCCCCAAGCCATCTGTGTTAGCATTGACAAGCAGCAGAAAATGAAGATATTTATATCGTGATCCATGTCACGGGCAGTTATAAATGAATCTTCTATCTGTTAAGTTTAGCATACCAGGAAATATACGTGCCCAAGATATTGAAAATCTGTACGCACTAAAACCTAGACTTGCCATGAGCTCAATGTCTTCCTGAAAGTTTATAGCAAACATTTCAATTCGTTGATAATTACCCTATTACCAAGAAGATCGTGCCCCTCCACCCTGCCCCTCTTTTTTTGTTGATTCTTTTTTCTCTTTTATAGGGACGGTAGACAATACCTTGTATCGATGGTAGTGATCAACTGCAATTTCTGCATTGCTTCTGTCTAAGACACGTTCTGAAAAGGCAAGCATTTGAACACAAATGGTTAAATATATGTATTTCAAGATCATAAAGGAATCTCCTAAAGAAAAGAGATTATAAAGGAACCAGATAAGCAAACCTTTGTCATCTGTAAATACATCCCATATGCTGTCTCCTTTGCCTCCCTCCCTTCTCGCTCCCTCAATCTACAGAGGAAAGAATTCAAACAACGTAACTTCCAGTTTTAGAGAGAAAGGAACAGAAAAGAGGGTGGTTTCCTATCTATATTTTCATTCTGTGTCTATATTTACATTCTGTGTCTTTCTAGTGTGTAGGGCTCTAGGCACAGGCACAATTTTGTCCCAGAAAGACTATGCATCTTTGGATCAACCAATAGTCCACCTTGAGATTTATGCAACACGACTCTACACCTAAACTCTTATTCTTCCATTACTCTCCCACTCTACACCCTGCAGTTGGGGACGTTAACAGCAACTATACCGCACTCTTTATCTCCTAACTGGGCACCGCCGTCCACCTGCCGTCCACTATTTGCCTGGTGAACCCTAGAGCAGCAAGCCTTGTTACCTATTGTTTGGACAGCACAAGGCAGTACTGGCATGAATACACTACTTTCATAATTAGTTAGTGCAATGAATGGATGGGGAATCCTATGTTGGGTCCACTGTTTCAACTTGCACTCCATCTATCTTTGGTCCTCTCCCATCCAGGGACACAGCAAAAATTCATCAGAAGTTGCACTTGAAACTAACCCGAAGCAGGCAGGGACGCTATAAATACCGAAGCACCTGTTCCTAGACACCGGCTGCACCTTTGGGACAAGCTGAATCAACTCTAGCCTCTGCACGTTTGGGACATGCTGAATCAACTCTATACATGGATAGTCAAGCTGAGACGCCGATCAACAGCGGAATAAGCTTAAAACGCAATGAGGGCGTCAGAGCTCGGAACTACAGTGAAAACAGAGACCAAACAGTGGAACCCACACACCAATTCGAATCTCAGAACTAGAGCCCCCAAGCAAGCCAAGCCAGCGCGTGCACTAGCTGTCGCGCAGTGTTCAGGCGTAGGCATGGCGCAAGCGCAAGCAGGCGGCGGGACGGGACGCCAAACGAAAGCGGCCGCGGCCGCGCGGGATGAGATGGGGACGGCGGCGGTCGGGTGGTACCTGGTACGCGGAGGTGGCGACGCCGAAGACGAAACCGTCGGGGAAGTCGGCGCGGGTCACCTCCGGCTCACGCCCCGTGCTCCCCATTGCTCCGGCGGGTGGGCTGAGTGATGGAGTTGCTGGAAGCGAAGGCGTGAGCGATCTCGACGCGGCGTGGAGGAGTTGGTGGATTCGGAAACGTGGGCTTGCGGGGATGGGGAGGGTTGAATTAATAAATGGCGCCTGACGTCTACTCCGAGAGGAAGCGGCCGAGACGCTCGCCATCGCCAGGTGCCCCGGCCAGCGAGAGCGCAGGGTGAGAACACGTGAGCAGCCACGCCGGCGTGTCGTCCCTGTCGGCCAATGGAGGGTGACGAGAGCATGGGGCGAGCCGGCGAGGCAGATCCGAGAGCGCTGTGTCCAGCGTGGCAGTTCGTCCGTTCCATTCTTCCAGAGGGGGATTGGCCCTACTTGTCATGCAGGTAGCCAGAGATTTGGATTCGGTTTCTGAAACGGGCATTTCTTCAAACACAGGGATTTTACCGAAGTTCAAATTTGGAAGTTGAAACAGAATGCTGACAATAATTTACCTATTATTGTTGTTTTCTATTTAATTACAGCTTTTTTTGAGAAACTTCTATTTAATTGCAGCTGTTCTATTTAATTACAGCTGCTTTACTTATTCTGAAGTCAAGAACAAACGGCCCGATTCGGGAGTCTAGGGTGAGTTGTTTCAAGAAAATCGAAAGAATGAGAGCACTACTTCAAAGTTCGAGTAGAAAATGAACCTATGATTTGTCACCGCCCGTTCATGGGAGTGTTCGGTTGGCATTAAATTGGTCTTTGTAGCTTTGGTTTGAAAATGGTTTCATCTTTGGTTTTTTGATGAAAAAAACATTGCTCAAATTGGCCGATCGGTTGGTTTAAGTTGACCAAAAAAAAAGCTATAATGTCAAACCCATAGAAAACAGTGGAAGGACGGCAAAACAGCGACAAAAGAAACTGGAGCAAATCTCCCGAGGATCCTTTGGTTAGTGGCACCAAATAACAAACAGAAAATAGATGTCGCTTGCATGTACAACTACAAGGATCGTGTTTTGAGCGTCAGTATGTGCGCCGTCTATGGTTGGAACAGCCGGTGATGTGCTTTTGGTACAATGCGAACTGAATGTGTTATCACATCTTTTGTGGGCATGCTCGAACCATACTAGATGAGACCATGCACCTTGGTCTATTTGGTTGCAAATGAGTGTAGCATACTGAATCATAGGAATCGTGTTTAGTTGCTTGTGTGGACGGTTTTATGGTATGAATTGGTGTGCTCAGCTGTGTTTGGTTTGGCACGCGACACAAGGTGTGAGCACCCAGATATGGTTTTGGTGAGGTTACCACCCTACTCAATAGTACAAGGCAGACTATAGAGATGTTTTTGCGTCTCAGTTCATTGTGCGCTGCCATTGACAATGACCTTGGAGCATCTAATGACAAAATACAAGCATACAATAATTTTTCCCATCTAATAGTCAACAACATTAGGGTCACAGTATCTCATAAGGTTATTGTCATTACAAGTTTGTATGGCACATTTTGAGCATCACAGGCAGTTGTAGCAACGAGCAAGAACGAACCACATGAGCACCAGCAAGAAAAAAGACTGCACCACAGCCACAACAAATAACACCGGTGTGTTCCTGACCACTTTTGGTGGAGGCTTGACAAAAACTTTGTCATTTTCACAACCCATGAACTCCAAGTATGATGCTTCTGCCTCTTCTTTGTTAGGGAAGCTCTTATAGCTGTTGTTTTTAAAACCAGTTACCTGGGCATTGCATCTAGCCCAGGTTGCATATGCTCCAGGAACCTTGCCACGGTACACAATATACCAAGCCATGTGTCCCTTAAAAACACATAAAAGCAAGTATAAAATGTTGATAAGATGAGGGTTAGTTCAATCGATTTGCCTCAGATTTAATTGCCTTTTCATTTGACCTTAAACTTGGAGCTTAAGAAACATAGACAGCAACAAACCTCAAACAGATAGTAGAAAATCAAGATCATGACAGGCATAAAACCATGAGAGACGTCTAGCCCAGCCATCAGATCATCACAACCGCCCAGTTGTTGCTTGGGTATGGATGTCTCACATGGTTTGATGACAGCCATGAGAAGCATAAGTAGAAGATAGAAGAAACAATGCTTCAATACCTCACAAGTCCAAGGTCATCAGTGTGCATAATCCATTACTCAAACCGGTACTGTTATCTTCATAGGCATGAAAAAGATCTCACAATTGTATCAGCCTCAGTCAAAAAATGGTTGACATCATAGGCACAAAAAAACGCAGACCTCAGCTAACTGCAAACTAACTTATAATCATCTTGCAAGCTAACTGTAATCATCCCAGGTGGCAAATAAGAACACAAATTGCTGAGGCAAGTTCATGTCTGCCATAAAAGTGTGCGACACATCCATCCCAGCCATCCGGTAGGCATGCCTACAACAGTTGCTTGGAAATGGACGTATCCCACGGTTTGATGATAGACATGAGAAAACATAAGAAGACAATAAAACAGCAACATGAAGAATACCCACGGCCACCTCAGATTGCTATAGTTTGCATCATCGGCCAAATAGGAACTCCAACAATAAGAATAACAAGAACAATAACAGCATCTAAAATGTTTCAGATCAACTAAGTGACAATCTAAGGTATTTTAGGGCTCAGATCAACTAAGTGAGAATCCAAGGTATTTTAGGGCTCAGATCAACTAAGTGACAATCTGTCACCCGTTGTTAATGTCTACACCACACAGATCAACACAGCCTCACATCCATCACCATGGCTCCTATGCTATACAAAACTAGGTACAGCCTTGGTCAGGCGGTAAATGGTTCTTTGTAGCATCAGATGAGGTCAGTACTACACATCAAAATACTTCCTACAGCATAAGACAGTTGGCATGGCTATATGTAAAAGTGGAGAGGCCAACTCATATGCATCTAAGCAAAGTAGGTTGTGCTCAGGTAGGTCCTAAGCCATAGGACCCTATGAGCCTTTGTCATCTGAACAAAGTAAAGTCCCTCAGCCTTGTTCTTCAGCAAGTAAACCAGGGCAAACATGAGTGCCTCCTGTGAGTACCCAAGGCAGTCCATAACACAGCCATAAAGGTCCTAATGCACCTCATTGTGCTGTGGAGTCTTGAGGGCATCTCCTACAGACTCCACAGCCTTGATCATTTTATTCATGAGGTCTATTTCCTCTTGGGCAAGCTTCCTTCTCTTGCCACCCCTTTCCTCCTGGCCCTTGGCATTAGAACCCGTAGAGCCTTCCATACCAGAAGGAGTTCTCTTTCTAGAATCAGCATCTGTGCCACCTAAGTCAGTGATATCCTCAACGACATCAATATCACCTTGACCAATGTTAGTCGGAGGACCCAGAGGCTCATTTGAGCCCATTGCATACCTGCCTATGGCCTGGTTACCACCAAAGATGGCCTCCATCTGAACATAGTTCTCTATTGATGTGTTAAAAAACTTAGCATCAGCAGGATGATCCTAGTTAGTGAAACAGATATAACTATTAGACATAGGGGAGCAAAAGAAAAGGGATAGCTGAGGTGTTATCCAAACAGTTTCTAACCTTGGTATGGCCAAGCAGGTGTTCATCGTCAAGTACTATCATATGGTGGTCCTCATCCCACAGAGCACCACTCAAATCCTTGAGCCTAACAATCTTAACCCACCTTTGCCTTCACTTTCTCAGGTGATTGTAAATCTGCTGGGTGCTCAAATTGACCCCAGCAAACTCAGAGACCATGAGTGCAACCTGCCTAACATGTACCTCCTTGAACCCTTTGTCAGTTTTGACCCCCTGCCCCACCAAATCATGGAACCTCCTTAGCATGAACCCAGACTGGATAGGAGTCCAGTGCATAGGGCCATTAGGCTGAGGGGCTGCTAGATTGCCATCATCAGCAGCAACTACCCCACCCTGTTCCACCACATTGTCCTCACCACCAATGTTAACAACCTGGTCAAGCATATTGTCCATTTCCTATCCACAACCAGCATAACATTGAGCAAACCAGTACGTAAGGAAAACAAATTGCATGATATGAAATACAACTTCAACAGATCAAATAGGCAGAAAAGGAATAGGTACTACATCATTGTAAAGTGCCATAGGTCTTAGTTAAAATACAAGTTCCATCAATGCTACTAAACAGTACACACACCATGCCACTACACCCTAGAATTCCCCCTGTTTTGCCACATCTGTGCAGCCCATGCCTCCCTCTGTTGTGCCCAGGTACCATTGTTGGGGACATGATCTGGCTGTGAGGCATTGTCATTGATGTTAGGAGTCCATGTGGATTCAGTAGGTACATGCTCGTCCTGCCCATGCCTGAGGATCCAATTGTGAAGAATACAACAGGCAAGAACAAGCTTAACTTGGGTCTTATATGGGTAGAAAGGCTTGTTGTCCAATATCTCGAGTCTATTCTTTAGAGCCCCAAAAGCCCTCTCAACTGTTACTCTAAGAGACGAATGCCTTAGATTAAAAAGCTCTCTTTGATTTTGAGGTCGGTCTAAACCAAACTCCCTCAAATGGTACCTTGTGGCACGAAATGGTGGCAAGAAACCAGGCCTCACTGCATATCCAGCATCGACAAGATAGAATTTGCCTAGAAATTAGCAGATAGGGATATGTTTTAGTAGTTTCATTCAGGATTAAGTAAAATGTCAATAGTTTTTTTATGGTTTGGATGATACCTGGTGGCACTCTAAGGCGATCAGCTCTTTCAAGAGCATCAGACAAGATAAGAACATCATTGTAACACCCTCAGTGTTACACTGTACAATCTTTTGCTAAAACACTGCATGTGCACCATGTTTATGTGATAGTGTATGAATTATAGTGTGTAAATCAATTCCTGTGACTCGAAACGTTCATCGGAAATGCGAAACGAATGTTATATTTCATGTCGCGTTATATCGCTTAGAGTTCTAAACGAATTTTTATTGAACGAAAATGTTATAGAACGCATATCCGGCACTTTAATAAAGTTTATAGTGTAAACTTCGTAGGCGACGATGAAATGCCTGCGATCGTGAAAGGAGTTCACTAGCTAGCATGGTTGGTAGCTTGGAAATCGAAGTTGACGTAAATTCGAGCGAGACTTAACCAAATTTCTTGTTAGAAAATGGTGTGACGAGGCTAAGTTTCGAAATTTTTATAGAAGAATCGGGTTCGGTAATGGTATGGTCTTAGGGCTTGTTTTAGT